CCCGTACCTCACCTGGGGGGACTGTGATCCCCCGCGATCCCCCCCGAAATGACCTCTGCCGATACTACCTTCTCTGCTGTTCTAGCACACATACTCCGCTCCAGATTGAAAGCATGTCAGATTGGCTTTATGATTCAAACAGGTTATCAGCCACACATATACCAGCTTCCCGGTAGGGTTGTCTGTTTTTTCAATACCCTTCCTAATAATCCCCAGCATAGCATTGGCCTTCTTCATTGCAGTCACACGCTGTCTCGACATTTTCAGTGAGTTATCTACTACAACTCCAAGATCTCTCTCTTGATCAGTCTCTGCCAGTTCAGACCCCATCAATGTGTATTTATAGTTAGGATTTTTGGCTCCAATGTGCATCACCTTGCACTTTGTTGGTCTAATCTCGATGGTTTCCAGGGTATACAGAGAATGTTGGAAGAAGTTCTTTGAAGCAAGCAAGACTGCGTACAGATGCACCTGCAAAGGGGAGTGTTTGGGAATATTTGTTGCTGCGGATCCCAACCCCGATACTACCTTCTCTGCTATTCTAGCACACCTACTCCGCTCCAGATTGAAAGCATGTAATTGGCTTTATGCTTCAAACAGGTTATCAGCCACACACATACCAGCTTCCCGGTAGGGTTGTCTGTTTCAATGCTTTCTGCTTCTTCTCCGTTTTTTAAAACTGTTGGGAGAGGGAGGGAGTGGCGGTGTGACTGACACAAGACCCAAGCAATCAGTATACTGCACCACCCTGTTTCTAGAAGGGGAGGGGAGTTTCTACACAACTGATGACGCTCAGGCTGGCCAATCACTGCTGGGTGGTGTATGTATTTAAAAAAATGTACACCCCTCCTGTCAATCAGATGATCTCCAAAGGGAAACCTATTAACAGATGAAATAACATTTTTTAAATTGCTCATCGGCCCTTGGAGATTCGGTTGGTGGCAGAGGTTCATTCCGGTGTTAGTCTTGTTTAGCAAAACAAAATGGAAGTACAATGGCACCTTAAAGACCAACAGCATTTATTCCAGTATGAGCTTTCATAAGTCATAGGAACGTAAGAGAACCATGTTGGATCAGGCCAATGGCCCATCCGGTCCAACACTCTATGTCTCACAGTGGCCAAAGCCCAGGTGCCATCAGGAGGTCCACCAGCGGGGCCAGAACTCCAGAGGCCCTCCCACTGTTGCCCCCCAAGCACCATGAATACAGAGCATCCCTTGCCCCAGACTGAGAGTTCCCATCTATATCTTGTGGCTAATAGCCATTGATGGACCTCTGTTCCATATGTTTAATCAGGGCTCTAGTCGGGGGGGAGCTCTCAGGTACGGAGCTCCGGAAGAGAGCCTCTAGGGGGCGGGGCGGTCACGTGGTGAAGCCCCGCCCCCTTCTTTACCCCGCCCTCTGCTTCGATCCTCATTCCGTTTGGGAATGAGGATGAAGCAGGAGGGTAAGTAGCCGGGCCTTCTGACACACTTCCGGTGATGTCAGGGGGTGTGGCCTTCTGTCACTTCCGGTGATGTCAGGGGGCGTGGCATATGCAAATAAGTTATGCTAATGAGTTATGCTAATGAGCTCCGGCAGCTCTTTTTCTACAACAAGACCCCTGAATACATTGTAGGTTTTTTCCAGTCCTCCAGTATTTCATCTTCTAATAGGAAGTTATAAATTTTTGCGGCAGTGATTCCTCTGATACCATGGGAAGAAAGAAAATTGTTTCCCTCATTTTTACACAGAAAAAGAGACCTGAGTGTCCTTCCCCTTTTAGGGCAATTGGTGTTGACCAGTATTATTTCTGACATGGGGGTGGGACAGACCCGTGTCTGCTCCTTGTCTGGGTGATGATGGGGGCCAGGTTGGTCTTCATGTGAAGATGGAGTTCTTCCTAGGATAGCAAGGGTGTAACCTGCCTGTGAGTCTCTGGCCAGTGGCGAAGGCCAGATCCTTTCCTTGGCACCCCCACAGCCATAAATCCAGCTGCTGTTCCAAAACAGAAGCACACCAGAAAAGCGGTAAAAGTGCATTTCCACCATGAGCTGTCCACTGAGATCGTTCACATCCACGCACTCCCCATTCCACCAACATTTGCTCAGCATAAATAATTCTCAGATGCTCAGTAGGTCGAGTATCAAAACAGTTCTCAAGATAGTAAACATTTTTTATGCCGGGTTTCTACCCGTGCTTGTGGGTGTTTATGGGGCAGAGTGACCTCCTTTTGACAACGAAAGGCTGTTTCACAAATCGCAAAGCGACAAATCCGGTTATGCCACGGAACGCAGCACTCCCCAAGGAGCCTCAGCCAACCCCACAGCTTTCAGGGATGCACGTGGTTGCTGACCAAGGTATGTCCTCCAGCATAGGTAATGCTGCCCTCTTATGTCTCTTCTGTAGAATGATCTCTGATTTCTCCTCTGAATTTCTAATCTAACCCGGTCTCTATGGCAGTGTGGTTCCCAAGCTTTTTGGTATGGTGATCCACAAGTCCAAATTTACTTTGTGTAGGGCTGACCCAAGATTTTTTGGTGCCATAGGCAAACTAGGACCGTGGCATCCAAACTAGAACCTGCAAGTATGGTATGGTGACCCGCAAGTCCAAATTTACTTTGTAAAGGTTTTTTTGGTGCCATAGGCAAACTAAAACCATGGCATCCATCTAGGTCAGCATTGCATTTTCTATAGTGCCCAGCCAGCTATTTTTGATAAACCAACAAAATCACACAAAGGATGCAGCTGTCCCAACTATGAACTCCAAGCAAGTGGGAGTTTATCCCCTTTTCTTCTGCCAGCTGGGCCAGAGCTGGAGTTTGAGGAGGCGTGCTTGGAGGAAATACATGAAGATGGCAGTGAAGAGGCTGGCATGAAGGAGGCACTGAAGCAATGCAGGGGGCTGGGCAAGAGATCGGACTGCCAGAGGAGCAGTACCAAAACAGAGCCCACAGTGACAGTTGCTGCAGCAGTGAAATCCCCCACACTGACGTTTTTAAAACTGTGTTATGTAATTTTCCACAGATTTTTCCTTGCCAGGCACAAACCCGAAGTTTTCTCCTTCTTACCCTGCATTTTCAGAACTCACTAAAAGCAGGGATTCCGAAAACACGGGGTAAGAAGGAGAAAACCGGGTTTGCATCTGGTGAGGAAAAAGGCACTGCAGAAAATTTCACATAACACACAGTTTCAAAAATGTCAATGCCGGGAATTTCACTACTGCGGAAATGGTCCCCCACACACGCCTCTTTCTATCCTCTGGTTTTTCCATGGCATGCTGAATAGCTCCCTCCCACCTTCTCTCCAACCTTCCCTTCCTTCCTAAGATGCCTTTTTTCACCTCACAAAGAGGGAGGGGGAGATGCGAATGTGAAGTTGGTGAGGAGGAAAGAATGAGAAGGATGCGAAGGACAGGTGCCACCATTAAGGAGGCCTGGTCTGCGTCCAGAGGCTTTTCAATCTACTCTTGGGTCCCGGACCCCAGCTTGGGAGACAGTGCCCTGTGGCAAGAAAACAAGGGCCATGTCGAGCGATCATATTTTCATACCCATGGATGTCTCACAGTGGGAAAGAACATGCTTGCCACATACCAAAGGTTTACTCTCAAGGTTTGCTGCTTCCACAGTTAGATCTTGTTGAAGACTCTTTACTATATTCCTTGAATCTGTGATAACCTGTCTGGCACTGTTTGAAACCCAAGAGATCAGGGGCCTGGAGACCAAGTCCTATGAGGAAAGGCTGAGGGACTTAGGTTAGTCTGGAGAAGAGGAGGCTGAGGGGGGACAGGATCGCTCTCTTTAAGCATTTGAAGGGCTGTCACTTAGAGGAGGGCAGGGAGCTGTTCTGGTTGGCAGCAGAGGAGAGGACTCGAAATAATGGGTTTAAATTAAGGGCGGGAAGGTACCGGCTGGATATCAGGAAAAACTTTTCACAGTAAGAGTTGTGCAACAGTGGAATCAGCTGCCTAGGGAGGTGGTGAGCTCACCCTCACTGGCAATCTTTAAGCAGCGGGATAGGCCAGTGG